TTCCTAAAAGATCTAAAAATTGACCTTCCATACAACCCCTCAATCCTCCTGCTGGGAATATACTTGGAAGAACTCAAATCACTCTATAAAAAAGATACTTGCACACGTAATGTTTATCGCAGCATTGTTCACAATAGCAAGAACATGGAACCAACCGTGCTGCCCATCAAAAGAGGACTGGATTTAAAAAAAACATGGTACATATACACGATGGAATATTACACAGTCATAAAGAAGAACAACTTCACAGCAACCTGGATGCACTTAGGGTCTATAATACTGAGTGATCTATCACAGAAACAAAGAACTGAGAATCATGTGTTCTCACCCATAAGTGGGCCTTGAACAATTATTGTAATACTGTAAGAAAAGGATTGGCAGTAGCAGGAAACTGCCAGGAGGGGAGCGGGGAAGTGAGATTGCCAGTAGTGGAAATCCAGCTGGGGAAGGGGACGCACCTCATCAACAAGGGTACTTGCATAATGAACATTTGTATACCTAACCCTGAATTGTTCCCCACATCTTTAAAATTAAAAAAATTAAAAGGAAAAAAAAAGAAATATAAGTATCATTAAAACTTTTACAAAGGCAACTGACAGCATTATTAAAAGTCCTTGGTTTTGGATATAAATCAATGACAGCCATTCTGACCTAATGAAATAACCCTCAGTTAAAAGAGAGTTTTGTGATAACAACTGCTATTGATTATGAAGCATGTACTTTATGCGTCAAATTTCATCATCTGCCATTGCTTTTCAGGTTCATTTCAGCACAGTTTTTGATTTTTGCTAAATGGAAAAAACATATATGGCCAGCAAAAGTGGACAGTAAATTATATGAGAATGCCTTTACGTGATAAAATATTACATATGCAAAACAAAAACCTCATTTTAATACATTATGAAAACAAGGCTTATTAACCTTTGCGAGATTGACAGTAGTGGGAATCTACAGCGGGGGAGGGCACACCTCATCAACAAGGGTACCTGCATAATGAACATTTGTATACCTAATGCTAAATTGTATCCCACATCTTTAAAATTAAAAAAAAAAACAAAACAATTTGCAATAATATGAGGACACATGTATAGCACGTGAAAAAGCAGCATGCAAGACTTTATATCTAGTATTATTTCAACTCCATAAACTCTTATCAAAAATATACTATAAAAGACTACATTAAATGACAACAGTGATTATCTTTGGTGGAGGCATTATGAATGGGTTAATTTTTCCCTTCTTTTACACATTTTCATTAACGAACATTTCTTTTCATTTTTTCTTTCAAATAATAATACTGAAAACGTTAAAGAACATGTAGCTGATAAAGTGTAAGCAACCTCAACTCCAAAGATCATCTCTGTATAGTGCTTGAAACATATTAATATATGGACTAGTAGATTTTATAACATACATGACAACTCATGTGTAGAGATTATGTATGTGTGTATGTGTGCATATTTAAGAGGAATGGGATTATATTAATAAACTATTCTGCAATTTGTTTTCTCTAGTTAATAAGATACCATACATAGCTTTCCATTACTTTGATAATCAGAATTTTATCTTTTATATAATAGTTATTAAAGTAAAGAACATTTTTCCACTGCACATGAAATAAGTACCTGGAAACCAGTGGCTTCTCGAAAAAGGCATGTCTCCAAAATTTCTGCTACATCATACTACATCAGACCCATGGGCTTGCTACAATTACTGATTTCTAAGAATTAATGAATAGTTTCTTGCTTAAACTCCTTAAAGAAACACAAATTAATTGGTCTTCCAATTTTCTTTGGCTATCTTTATAGACGGTACAGTGGAGAGTCAAATATACCTTAGAGCGTCAGAAGTATGCTTTTGTAAGGAAAAAAGTAGGACACACCTACACCTCATTTGATATATTTGGCAAAGAGTATAGATACGCTATCTCATGATTTAAGAATGTCAATCCTGGGCTTGATGGCTCAGCCTGTAATCCCAGCACTTGGGAGGCCGAGGCAAGTGGATTGACTGATCCCGCAGGTTCGAAACCAGCCCAGACAACTTGGGGAGACCTCATCTCCACAATAAATCAAAAATTATACAGGCATTGTAGCGCACACCTGTAGTTCAGGCTACTTGGAAGGCTGAGGCAGAAGGCTCGCTGGAGCCCGGCAGGTCGAGGCTGCGGTGGCCAGGAGTGTGCCACTGCATTCCAGTCTGGGCGACAGAGTGATACTCCAACTCAAAAAATGAAAAAAATAAACAAACAAAAAAGAATGCCAATCCTGTGCAAACTTTTGTCTTTGATATAATAAGAGGAATATTTGGCACCAGAATATTTTAGTTCAACAGAACTATCAGACAGCCCTCTATAATCACATATTTGTCCTAATAGGTATAAATTGTATTACATATAAGGGTATAAACTAACAATATCACATCTATAAGCTATATGAAGACTAAAGCAGAAAATACTGCCTCAACATAGTTAATAAATGAGCTAAACATCCTAGATTAACAAAACACATAGAAAAGTAATATTTATCAGGCCCTACTTTGAAAGCCCCAGTTGAGGAGAAAGGGCTAATGTACTTGTGGACTATTTCAAACAACAGAACACCAAATGCACTTATTCCAAGAAGTCGGTTTTTGTTGCTACAGTAGACTTTATGATTAAATTCTGAACATCCTAACTAAATTTTGTAAAGGAACTCATACATACTGGCTGTTGAAACACCGTCATTCACTACACTATGGGATTTTTGAGCACTGCAAGGATCATAGAGATCAAAGCTCAACAAACTACATCCCATGAACTAAATCTAGCCTGTCATCTGTCTTTGTAAATAAAGTTTTATTGTAACACAACCATGCTCATTCATTTACATATTCCCTGTGACTGCTTTTGTGTGCTACAGGGCAGAAGTGAGTTGAAGCAACAGAGACTCTCTGGTCTGTAAATCCTAAAATATTTACAGTCTCACCCTTTTTTTTTTTTCTTTTTTCTTTTTTTTTTTGACTTGGAGTCTCACTCTGTTGCCCAGACTGGAGTGCAGTGGTATGCTCCCAGCCACTGCAGCCTCGACCTGCTGGGTTCCGGTGATCCTTCTGCGTCAGCCTTCCAAGTAGCTGGAATTACTGGCGTGCGCTACCATCCCTGGCTAACAGTCTCACCCTTTTTAAAGCAAGTTTGCCAGTTCCTGATTTAGATTGATACTTGAAAAATGGATTCCTTAATATTTAGTAAGAGCTTTTCTTTAAGAGTCTGAGTATTTTCAATAAGAAAATAAAAAATAACAGTGTATATCTGTTTTTATTCTAGCAGTATTAAGTTTAAGAGAGAAGAAAATTCCACTCTGCCTCTGACTATCTGCAAATCTTGAGCAGATTACTTAAACTCTGGGTCTCGATTTCCTCGTGTTAAGCGATCATAATATTACAACCTTCAAAGGGTTGTTATGAGAATTGAATACACATCACTCAGGACCTGGTACACAGTGAGAACGTAACAACTAATCCTCTTCTTATCATATTATGATGATCATCTCAAGAAAGCCAACACAGGCTCTAAATGGTTCATTCTTTCCAGTTCTCAGGGTCTGTGGTTCTCCCTGGAGGAGAGAATAGGAGACTGAGCCTGGCGAGTGCTGGGTAAATTCCTAGTTTAGATACTATGTGAACCTGAATCTATGTGGACTGGAGAAAGACACAACATATAGATCCCCAATTTCTTCTTCTATGAAATGTGAGGGCTAGACAGAAAAACCTCTTGTCTCAACTGAGTGTTTATATGTGTCACAGGGCCCAACTACAGGGTTCATTTAACCTCTTTCCTATTAGAAGAAAACAAGGGACTGGTAACTTATAATCACAGAGTTGGGACAGTCATCAGGTAAAGGAAATATTTCTAGGTTATCTATAATCAGCATGAATTGCCTGTCCACAGTGAGATGGTAATTTAGTTAGAGAGAAAAATAAGTTAATAAAATAAGGTAGCACTTTTTCTTTCTTTCTTTTTTTTTTTTTGAGTTGGAGTCTCACTCTGTCACCCAGGCTGGAGTACAGTGGCTGCTCCCAGCCACCGCAGCCTCAACCTGCTGGGCTCCAGCAATCCTTCTGCCTCAGCCTTCCAAGTAGCTGGAGCTACAGGCGTGCACTACCACACCCAGCTGATTTTTTGATTTATTATAGAAATGAGGTCTCGCCAAGTTGCCCAGGCGGGTCTCGAACCCACCGGCTCAGGCAGTCCAGTACCTAAGCCTCCCAAAGCATGGGATTATAGGCTGAGCCACCAAACCCAGTTAGGTAGCACTTTTTCAATGGCTGGTATATCTGATGAGACTTGGCCCTTTTCCCTTTCTTCACTTGTTCTTCCCTAACACCAACAACCCCCCTTCTCCTCTTTCATCCCTCCCCCTCTCCCAGTCACCCCAAAAGATGGCAACACCTAAGTCTAAGGTACTTAAGAAAGGCTTCAGTGAAGACAGCACAAGGGGGCCGGCCTGTGGAAGATCCAAGCAAGTACGATCGTGTGGGAGCAGACCACTGTGAAGTGGCTGGCCAGTTCATACACCATTACCAAGGGCAGAATCAGAAAAATATGTGGAGGCCTTATCAGAAGGATCCATGAGGGCATCATGAAGAGTCTGGGCCTTACCCAGCATGTACAGGAAATGACAGAAACTCCCAGAACAGGAAAGGCAATGACAGTGGTATGCACTGTGAATTTAATTGGGATAGAGCACAGAAGTAACTGCAGGAGAGACAGAGTTGGAGCTAGGGAAGCAATTGCACTGCACATCAGAAGGTGGTAAGAATTGAGGGTACTCTTTCAGGTCTTTGGGCTCCTGAGTGCTGTTGCCGAGGGGTTAACCCTAAGTAGTTTTGTCCTAAAGATTTCTGAAAGCTTGCTCCTTCGTTGCCATTTTTAACAGTAGAAATACATAAAGACCACAAGCTATCAAAATATCTCAAGCCAATTTTTTTTTCTTCAATTCCCAATTAGATGTCTCACTTACCAAGGAAAGATGGGGTGAAGACCACGTTTCCTCAATCATGAATCACTCCAAGACTCCACAGCCTCATGGGCATGCAAGCCCAGTTCTCACACACCAACACTTCAAAGAAAAACAGAGACCCTGTTAACCTACTATAAAAGAAGATGTGGTCATTGATTATCCACTCTAGGAAGTTCCACGAATGCCTTGGACACCCCGTGCAAGCTGCTTAAGCAACCTATGACTTGGAGCAGAGTGACGCAACACAGCTTGGTGGTCACAAACATGACAACCCTATCTCAACATCTCGTGCACCAGGGGTTTTTTTTCTTCAGACAAGAAGAATAAAAATTTGAATGCTGTTATCTGATGAAAACAAACTCACATGAAGCATCCAAAAGAGCCAATATTTCAAACCCACTGTAATTATTTAAACAGTCTAAAATTCAAACTCAGATTAATTATATGAATGTATCCATTCAGTGTTGGTTCTTACATTCCACTTTCCAGAACATGTATTATCTTAAGTGATGCCTTTCAAAAATAGGAGATAAAGGCAGAAGGTGGAGAATAAACTATGCTGGAAATCTGAGATTATATTTTATTGACATATTCATTTGTTAGGTACACAATTATGAGATTTCATAGAAAAAAAATTTGTAAGTCTTAAAAAACAACTCACTTTGCCAAAACCAAGTAAACTTGTCCTATCTCATTGAATTTAATCTACAAAAATATTGAAAACTCGACGTTGCAAGAGGATGCAGAAACGACCAAAAACACCAGCCTCCCTAGAAATGTGACTGCCAGAAGCTAAAGTAATGGGTGGCTTTCCATCTATTATCCATCAAAGAAACGTATCCAGTATCTGTGAAAGACGCCTATGACTTCAAACACTGCACCTCAGGGCTCATGCCTTTTCTGGTCTCCTCATTCATCTCATGTGTTTCTTCTCTTCCCACTCAGTGACTTCTGGCTGCTGTAAATTGGAAACACCCTGACGTTCTCCCTCTCCACCCATACACTTAGGAGGTGCTGAGAAGGATGAAGAGAAAATGAGGAGAACTTCCCAGAACATGCTGGCTATCCCTTTAGGTAACGATTCCCACATGGTCTACTTCAGAAATGTTCGAGAGACCATCTGCCTGCGGAAAATCAACTGAATTACGGCAGCTGGAAATTTACAAAAGTTTGTATCTGCTGAAATGCTGTTTTGGAAGGCCCAGCGTTCAGAGGCCAGAGAGCAGCAACAAGGTGGTATGACCTCTCCGTGAAGCTCACTGTCCCCAGAAGGTGCCTTTGGAGAGTTCACGGGGAGCGAGGGGCCACCCAGGGCAGCACACTGGGGAGTGTCCATGTGGAGATGCCCAGAGAGCCCAGGTGCACTCACTGAACAGCGTGGCCAATTCTAAGGTCCCAGCTGAGTCCTCGAAAGTCTGTGACATCATCCTTTGGAAAGGACAAGGCACAGATGCAAATCCTTGAAGCCAAAAGAGGAGTCAGGGAAGCATACTCAGGCTGAGAAAAATTCCTCAGAGCGGCCAATTTCTTTTTTCACAACTCCGATAATGCCACCTTTGGGTGTGGCAATAAAATATGTGAGCAGAAACTTCTTTGTTAAATGGCACATTTGAATACACACATTTCCTTGTAGTTATTTAGATCTTAGTTGGAATTTAAATAATAAAGTTGGACAGATCCACCGGTTACTGCCATGAATACCTGGCAATTTCTATAAGTTCCCACATGTCAGAATTGCATTAAAATAAGGGCTGGTAGGTCTCCCATCTTCCCCCAGTGAGGTCAAAGATGCGGTGATATGATCCACCAGCTGAACATCCAGCCATACTTAGAGAATATGGGCCAGTCTCTTAAACAGCAATGGAGATGGAGTCCAAAAAGAACATTGTGAGAATTCAGAATCAGTGATGCGACCAGAGAGCAAATACTGCAGGGAGAGAACATTAGTGCTGAATCCAGGCAGTGACAGCCCACAGCCTCGACAGCCAGACAGTGCTGGCCCAACCTTCAGACTTCAAAGCCCAGCCCCTTCCTTGTGAAAAAGCAACACCCACAGGACAGAGCTCACTTGGCTTGGGAGAAAACACAACTCCCTGCAGAGCTTGATGTCTAAACAGGAAATCAGTCCCAGCAGCAGGACTCCAAAGTATCCACCCTGAAGGGCTTTTGGACCATGCCTATGTTTACATCTACAGTGAGAAAGATATTATATCAGCCTGGCACTAGACAGTCAAGCAAGCAGCATCGGGACCTTCTACTCCTGAAGGCCAGCCCTTGCCTGGGTAGAAGCTGCCTGCTGCAGGAAGACAGGACACTCAACCAGTCACCCACGTGTACCTGGGAGGGTGCACTCAGGAGCAGAAATCAGAGCAACAAAGAAGAGGGCTGGAAGAACAGAAGACAATTCCGGCATGAGCTCTCCCATCCTCCCCCACTGAGGCCATGAATTAGCTAACACATAAACCACAAATCACTGACATAGTTTCTAGAAAACTGAAAAAGAACTCAAAAGGTAAAGAAACTACAAAGTCCCAGAGGCTAACTCTAGATTGGAAGTTGGGATATTTTAAAGTGGCATTTAACTACCCATTTAATAGGAAACTGCTTACGTTTTATGCTAACGTATAAATTTCCCTATTTGACTCAGTTCCATATTACCCATATCCTTTTCTCTTTTCGCTTAGAGCTAACCTTGTTACAACCTCTGAAATCCTCTGTGTCATAATTTTCAGTTATGTTCTGAAAAAAAAATGCCACCATGAACATCTGTGTGCAAAACTGGCACTGCAACATTTTGGACTTACTAACAATAAAACTTTCCCAGAAGTGTTGCCCTGTAGCTACCTTCACAAGCTCTCCAAATTGTCTCTAAATGGGAATGCATGAATAAAATGTATTGTCAATTACAACTTACTAAGTGCCCATCAGCACATGACTTTTTGCTAAAATACGCAACCTTCTCTTTGCCCAACCCACTCAGAATGAGGTAAAACGTGGATTTAAACATTCTTGCAGAGACCAAAGGCCAGCTGAGTGGCAACCTTTATCCAGCAGACACATAAGAAAAATTAACATGCCATGCCAGTCTTAAGAGCTCAATTTGGAGATTGTACAACAGTAAAATTACACTGGAAATAAAATGAAAATGGACAAGACCACCTGGCATCATAAAGTTTAGTGGAATGATGGAAAGAAACCCCACCAGATATAGGTTCAAGAAGTTATAAACTGCTGGGCCATGGTTCCCCAACTGGCAGCACATTAGTCCAGTGCTACTATTTTGATTGAATGAAACTATCTGGAGAATCCAGCACTCAGAAGCAGACTGGGGGATGAGAAAAATCCATTCACTGGGCCATCCACACTGTACCCCTTTCTTTCACTGCCTCATCCTGGCTGTCCTGGCTTGCATAAGGCTGCCTCTGACAGACTCTGTCACTCCCTTCAAATAGGCATGCCCCAACTAACTAACTGTGCTTGGAGAAATCAACACTCAACATTTAGGTTAAGAACAAGCCATTCAAGCAAAGTGTGGGCAACAGAAACACAGAACAAGACATCAAGGCAAGATAGAAAGAAAGCAGAAGTAAGAGTGGAAGAAAAGGAAGAGGGGAAAGAGAAACACACTAGAAGCAGCCTACAGAGATGATTCAATACTCCAAAATGCTGCAGGCTTTTTTTAAAATATTTTTTTATTACAAAACTTATTGGTTTTTTTCATGCATTTTATGTATATTCGAGGTTGACAACATGATATGATGGGATACATGTAGATAGTAAAATTATTTCTATAATGAAGTAAATTAACATATTTATATCTCACATAGTTATTTTTTGTGACAAGAGCAGATAAAATCTACTTATTTAACAAAAATTCCAAATACCATACAGCTATATTCACTATAGTTCTCATGTGTGCATAGACCTGTTTTTTTGTTTGTTTGTTTGTTTGTTTGTTTTTGAGTTGGAGTCTCACTTTGTCCCAGGGACTGGAGTGCAATGGCAAGATCGCGGCTCACCACAACCTCAACCTCTTGGGCTCAGGCAATCTTCCCGCCTCACCTTCCCGAATAGCTGAGTCTACAGGCAAGCACCACCACATTCAGCTAATTTATCTATAGAGACAAGATCTCACTATGTTGCCTAGGCAGGTCTCAAACACCTGGGCTCAAACAAGCCTCCCCTCCAACCCCCCAGCTTCCCAAAATGTTCGCATTACAGGTGTGAGCCACCATGCCCAGCCGTAGCCCTCTTTGAACAATTTAAATAAACAACTATAGGCAGGCGGGATGGGGCTCCAGATGAGAGGGAGGAGAATAGCCCTTGGCCATACCTTTCCACTGGTGAAGGTATGCAGCCACCCTGCACTCCTGAGCAAATAGTCAACATTCAAGAAAACAGCTTGAAAAGGAAAAATGAAGGACACAAAACGCTTGAGATGAAGGGAGTGGCCAGGCCCAGCTCTTCGTAGGGTGCCCTGAGGATCAGTCACCAGCAGGGGTCAGAGGCTGGTCCACGGAGCAAGTTCCTTTGGACTCCTGAATATGAGATTGCTGACCACTTTATATTCAAGACAGGATCAGGCTTCAAATGAAAAACAGTTTTGTTTTGTTTTTTTAAAGACAGATCTCTGGGCCGGGCTTGGTGGCTCAGCCTGTAATCCCAGCACTTTGGGAGGCCAAGGCGAGTGATTGCCTGAGCCCGCAGGTTTGAGACCCACCTGGGCAAATTGGTCAGACCTCATCTCCACAATAAATCAAAAATTAGTCAGGCATGGTAGCGCATGCCAGTAGTTCTAGCTATTTGGAAGGCTGAGGCAGAAGGATTGCCAGAACCAGCCAGTCGAGGCTGTGGTGGCCCGGAGCGTGCCACTGCACTCCAGTCTGGGCAACAGAGTGAGACTCCAACAAAAAAAAAAAAAAAAAGATAGATCTCTGGATATGTTCAAAATCACCATCTAAACTTTGAGCTTTATTTGACATTATGATATTTAAACGTCGAAAGCAGAGCTAGGGCGGGCTCAGTGGCTCAGCCTGTGATCTTTGCACTTTGGGAGGCCGAGGTGAGTGGATTTCCTGAGCCCGTGGGTTCGAGACCAGT